TAACATTATCCATTCCTACCTTGAAAAATATATGCTAGATTGCTACACTGACTTGAGTGATGACAAGTGGTATGGTGTTCTGCGTACCTTGGAAAATCAGCTTATCAATATACACACTGATCTCAAAATTGAAGGGCACATTATTGAGGGCTAAGTGCATTATACAAAGCCTGAAGGTATGCAAATTTGGGGCGAAAAACTAGAATGAGTTCCCCTTTACTCAAAACGGTGTGATTATGAAGTACTATGTCGTTGGCATGGGCTTGTTGTGCCACAAACATTGTCTGCAGCCTTCCAAACAAACACACACAAAGATGAATCAGAAGTGATTAGGCATCTGATAAAGGAGATTCAAGAGATGAAAAAGGCACTAGCTGTTCATCATGCAATGGATGATCTTAGCTTCTTGGGAGGAACAAACAATCAGTACTGGAAGTTATTAGAAAATGATAAATTGCATGGAGACAATGATTATCCTGTTTTCCCAATAGTTGTCGAGTGGGAGGGACTACCTAAGTTTCTACCACAGACGTTGGACGTAGGTGTCCCATATTGTTATAGAAATCAAGCAAGTGATCTTCTTGATGATAGCGATGAAATGCGAGAAATGTGTGTCAACTGGGGCCTAGATTACAACGCCCTCGGTCCCGAAGGGTACGTACACGATGTTGATGAAGAAGTTGAAGACAGTGACAATAAAATAGTGCCAGACGGCAACGATAATGGCGAACGACAATTGTCTTTTTTCTTGGGATGTATGTTAAATTGTTGTACTGAAGTATTAATGCTAAATATCAATAATACTTAACACTAATGGAAACATAGTTTTATTTCATACATTCTGCAAGATGAACATGTACATATACTCATTACAACAAATTACTAGAAAAAAAACACTACGGGTATCCTTGATAATTGGGCATATTAGATGAACTTCTATCGGGAGCTGAATTACCACCGCTACTCAAACCAGCTGAAGGACATTTATGACGATTGTGTCCTGTTTGAAAGCATATGCCACATTTACGTGCGTAAACGGTATCACCAACATCCATTTGGTTCCATATATGCGTTCTTTTTTGCATCTGTAGCTTACACAAATACTCATTGTTACACATCACTTTAAATGGTTCCGCTGGCCAATAATGCTCAGCACTCACTGGTTGCAACTATCCACTATAGGTGTTTAAGTATGCAGCAACACTATATTCCTTATCAATGTAGCTAGTTGCCGCGAAACCTGTATGTTGAAAGCACTTCATGGCATGTGAGCACGACATATGGTAGATGGACCATTTTCCACAAGAACATAACTTTCTGGCTTCATTTAAGGTGTGTATTATTCTCCTGGTTTTGATAGACAGCGATGCGAACTTCAAAAATATTTCGTTCATTGCAATACTGTAAATATGAAAGCCAATGTGCTCCCCTCCTGTATTTCTCAAATCCTTTCACTTGCATTTGGCATAAATTCGACACCCCTCTCCATCAATGACGCTGCACCTCTAGCCCTTTCAGCAAACCTCTCCGCCATTTGCTTGAATGACATCCACACTATGGCAGTGACAGGCAATCCATATGCAGACTTCAATAACCTGTTGAAAGACTGACATATTTGGCGTCAGAATTCCCCATAGTCTGCTATTATCCGCATGCAATGTCCATTTTTCAAGCTCATGTTGCATCAACCAACGATAGGCTCCTTCATCTTCTTGCCTGATCGATTCCATGCGCCACCTGAATTTACACTCTTGGTGATCAATTGCAGCCATCCACACTAAATCATGCATGTCCTTGTATGGATGTGCCTTCGAGAAATTGGCCTTCAGGTGCCTCACAAAGTAACGGTGGTATGCATGCGGTTCCTGCCACGCAGGCAAATGTTGTACAAAACTTAAAATAACACCATGCCGATTAGATATTAGACAAATACCTGAACGTTGTCTGATAACGTGCTCTTTCAAGTGGTTCAAAAATAGCGTCCATGTCTTTTGTCTTTCATTGGCACAAATAGCAAAAGCTAGGGGAAATATACGTCCATTACCATCTACTGCAATTGCGAACAACAATTTAATATCATACTTTCCATAGATATGAGTGGCGTCTATGGATATTACCGGCCGACAATGCACAAAACCATCAATTGCTAGTTTAAATGCCAGAACACATATTTGAATATATGTTCTGGCATTCCCGGACTCCGCTCAAGCTTCCATTTAACAATAGTCACCGGGTTAAAGTGTTGCAATGCGGCCATGTACCTGGGTAGAGATGCAAATAACTTATCCTAATTATCATAAACAAGTTCAAATGCACGTTTGCACCCAAAAAATATCTTTCTTTTGGTAATGGTACACCCATATTACTTGTAGACAAATGTAATACAATCTTTGATCTTGTACCTTATGCACGATTCAATGTGTGGAAGCATAATAAGAGAAATCAAGTCAACATCCAAGTTAAAGTGATTCCCACTGAATATGTCCATTTTACAATTGTGGGTGCTAATATATTTACCTACAACCCACATATTTATTTTCTTCTTCCTCGCATGCAGCATCCAATTACAACCTGTAAACCATGTATGGCAAATAACCTTGTATACAACGATGACCTACTAATTTCGTAAAGTTGAAGAGCAAAGTTAAGATTTTTTTTTACCTTGGTTTGTTCGTTCTTTGTTAGTGATACATGAGAGATTTTTAGAAAGAAAAAAAGGTAGGTAGTTTTTTCAAAGCATCCCAAACCCATTGGGAAGTGTACAACACGTTCATTAGAATAAAATTCAAGGGATTCATAAACTTTCGATTTTTAGTTTCCCTAAAAATAGAATTACAATTGGTCATTTAAAAATAGTCACAGTTTCAAAGGTACTCGAAATTTAACCACTTTTTATGTAAAAATAAATTTGAGCAAAAACATTGTTCAAAATCTAAAAAAAATACTCTAGCATAATATACCGGTCCAACATAATATACTGGAGTTTGGAGCACCGATGCTCCAGTCTCCAGTATATTATACTGGAGCCAGTAAAGTATACCGGTCCAACATAATATACTGGAGTTTGGAGCACCGATGCTCCAGTCTCCAGTATATTATACTGGAGCCAGTAAAGTATACCGGTCCAACATAATATGCTGGAAGTTCATATACATGTGCACCGAACTCTAGTATATTATGCTGGACCGATCTCTGTTGCATCAAAATAGTGACTATTTTTCATTGACTTAGCAAATGCTGGCTATTTTTGAATGATCAGTTCGAAAACTGGCTAAACCGTGCTATTTTAACAAGGCAAAATACATAAGTTAGCACCTTAACTATGAATCAAATCCCTATTACACACTTTTTATGGACGAAAATAACTTTACACACTCAACCTTTTCAGAGTGTGTCTAATACACACTACTTTTATATTTAAGCATCTCAGAAAAAGTGAGGTCTATTGTGAGCACGTGATTTTTGCCCTATGTGAGAATTACTCCCAAAAATTCAAAATAAAATAATTTTCCTTTGTGTGCAATTTTGAGAATTTTCGTGGCATTTTGGATAATTATTTGTATTTGTCCGTGCATGTTTATTTGTTAAATTAATAAAAATACAAAAAATATGTCGCATTTGCATTTAGGATTTAATTCTACAATTAGGAGCAATTAAGTTTGTTTTACAAAAACAAAAAAAATCATAAAAATAATGTACGTTGCATTTGTCACACCTCCTTTTTCCATACCCGCAGGGGCGTAGGGAGTTTTTTTCCAATTAAAGGACAATCGAAACGGGATTTGTTTATTTATTTCAGAGTCGCCACTTGGGAGATTTAGGGTGTCCCAAGTCACCAATTTTAATCCCGAATCGAGGAAAAGAATGCCTCCATATTACAGTCTGCGTATCAGAAATCCGGATAAGGAATTCTGTTAACCCCGGAGAAGGTGTTAGGCATTCCCGAGTTCCGTGGTTCTAGCACGGTCGCTCAATTGTCATATTCGGCTTATTTATCTAATTTTAAATACAACTATGAACCGATGTGCCAATTTTAACTCTTTACCGCTTTTATTATATTATTTTTAAAAGAATGTGAACATCGCTTAAAACACGTCTTCGGACTGCGTCACATGAAATGCACCCACAATCCGGAACACATTTTACTTGATGTTTTGGGATTTGGATTTGAGTCGCATGAAATGCACACCCAAGTTTAAGAGAGTAAATTATTAAGCACGGGCCTAAAGCGACTATCGTGTTATTATTCTGGGAAGACCGCGAAATTTGCTAAACTGCCCGTCCTGGAAACTAAGTACTTTAATATATACATTTAACGAGGGCCCCGCAGCTTGTGCATTTTGTTTGTCGAGGCTCGTCTCATCTTTATTTTAAATAGGGATTTGCAACGTCATGGAAATGCATCTCAAACCGCGTCACAATCAATGTACCCGTGATTAGAGACACATTTCGACTCCGTTGAGATTTGGATTTGGGTCACATAAATGTGCACCCGAGTTAAGGAGAATAAATTATTAAAGGCGCGCCTAAAGCGACTAGCATATTATTATTTTTGGGTGAGGCCGTGGAATTTCGCTAAACGGCCCGTCCCGGAATCTAAGTATTTATTATGACCAATTATTGAGGGCCCCACAAATCGTATTTTTATTTGGCGAGGCTCATCTCATTTTATTATTTAAGGGCAAACTTAAGACAACTACGATTTTTTCCCCATGACGTCATCTGAGGTTAAACGAAAACAACAATTCTATTAGGTAATAATATCCATGGTAAAATGAAAAAAGCAATTCAACAAAGACGACACACAAACAGTTCATAGGAAATCCATATCATTTTTTCATTCCATTTAAGCAAATATCACAAGTTTGGAAATGTGTATGCACCTGTTTGAAGCAAGAACAACAACCAAACTGGACCGATAACTATCGGAAACCTCTCCAACGACGGAACCTCGATGTCAAGCTCAACGATATCAAACCGGAAGCCACGAGCACAATCCAATGACGACCTCAAACGGATTGCGCGACGATAGCAAAGAAACAGCGGTAACTGGGCATGCTAATGGCGACTGGATAATCGCCTGGTATGGCGCACTGGTTCGTTGCTGGGGGAGGAGGCGAGCTGGGGTTGGTTCTACGACTGGCTGCGATGGAGATTGGAGGAGAAAGGGTGGTTGTTTGGGCAGTGAGGGAGTGGGGTCGAGGGATAGTGACGACGGGAAGCAACAGCAGTTGTTGTTTGATAGAAGTTGGGGCGTGGGGGTCGTGCTGGTTCAGCTGGTAGCGGGCAGCAATGGTGGTAGACGACCGGAGCTGGGCGTCGTTTGTGGTCGACGAAGGGAGTTTGGACAGGAGGATGGTCGACTGCTGTAGCGGTGGTTGCTGCTGCTCAACAAAACGAGGGGTCGTGGGTTATGGAGGTCTGGAGACGAGGAGGGTGATGACGATGGTTATGGCGTTTGGATGTAGGGTCGACGGGCAGTGACGACGCAGCAGCAACAGCTGCTGCTCGACGGATTTAATGGAGGATCGCCGGAAAATGGTTTGATGGAGCTAGGAGGAGGAGGAGTGGTCGTGAGGCTGGTGGGTCGTGGTGGTTTTGTGGTAGGGCTGCTCCTAGGGTTTTTT